GGGGGGGGGGGGGGGGGGGGGGGGGGGGGGGGGGGGGGGGGGGGGGGGGGGGGGGGGGGGGGGGGGGGGGGTGCAGATGGGGGAAAAGAAGACGCAACATGGCTACTGCGGTGGCAACGTCCATAGACATGCAAAAATACTGGCATGCGTCTCAAGGTCAGGAAACGGAAAATTATCCTATCCTCTAAAAACCTTGAGCTATGGCGAGAAAAATGAGGACGTCATCGAGAGGGAAGTACAGCAAAGTATTCACCAACACAAACCACCTTCACACCCACCCCGAGATCACTACCGGGAGAGCTTCCTCTGTGCCGGCTAAAAACTGCATAACCTCAACAGAGTGAGTGGTTTGGGGCAAGCATGCACAGGCAACCGAGAAGGTTTTGATTCGAAGGCAGCGGCCCAAACCACCACCACCACCAACAACAACGCCCGAGTCCTCCCGCCCACCTTGTAAACCTTGGCATAGAGCTTCTTGTCCACAACGTCCTCCGGCACCGAGGTGCCCTGGACGAGCTGCTTCAGGATCTGCCGGCCGTAGTGGCGGTACACCAGCCCCGCGCTTGAGAGGCGGGTCTGAAAATTCTCCTCGGAGAGCGTGTCGTGGAATGTCTTCTGGTGGTGGTCAAACCTAAAAGCGAAGAAAAGAAGAAGAGGCATTTGTATCCAAGAAGTGGAGGGACGGGGTTCATTTGTTATGACTTGGGGGGGCATTCTTCCGACAGCTGCATCAAAGGCTAACAACGCAGGTTTACGCGTGGGGATATTTGATCGGCCATCACAAGCACGCGTTGCTTCTACCGTGGTCTGGGGAAATGGGCATCGACTTCTTTTCGCCAAGTCTCTACATAGGTGGTGGGTACTGCTTCTAAAAATACGCCTGGAGAGGAGGGGTGCATGGATGAATATATCGATTGGCTGACCGCTGATGGTTCGGAGCAAAGTCTCGCACGCAGATTTTCCAACTGCAGCTCGTATTTTTAGAAAAAAAACGAACAAAGTCTGCCCCCTGGTACTTTTCTCTCTTGCTCTCTCTTTCCGTACCTGCTCTGCTGCGTTGAAGGAACTATTGTGCTCCACGAATCAGCCTCTTACATGCACCAAGGCAGCGACGACAAAAGCGATAGCAACATTGTAACGACCACGACAACAACAGCAGCAGTAGTAACAACAACACGCACAGGCACACCTCAGGGTGGTGGGGTCGTACACCCCGCCAACGTCGACTACGGCGTTGCACTTGGCCAGCTCCGCCTCGTCCCGGGTGCGCACGATAACGGCGTCGGACCACTCCGGCAGGATCTTGAGCATCGCGCACGCCAGGGCCTCGTCGCAATGGACTTAATTTCGTGGAGTGGAACGGACAGGAGGGGAGAGATGGGGGGCCGGACGACAGCAGTGTGAGACGAGAGGGGGGG